TGCTTCATGAGTACCAGACTTCCTAAGAGTTCAATAAAAAGTTAAATGCCACCGTAATGATTGAAGCCAGATGAAATCTCTCAGCTAAGTTGGTAGAGTGCTAAAATTTCCCTGGGTTCAGCTATTACCGGCAGGATTATTGGTAAAATGCACAGCCAGTTGATCATGGAACTCAAGTCCTTCCTGCACAGTCAGAGCCTGTGCTGTGGGTTGAGTTGAAATCCAGAGATGTGCAGGTTGGGGACCAGCTACCAGGCCAGCAGGTTGCTCCTTCCACATAGCACAGCAGGCCCACACCTTAGCCAGGAGGGAGCTGAGCCTCTTTTTAGTCCTTCCAGAACCACATCCTCAGAGGCTGACAGATTTCATGACAGCTTGAGTTACTGGCAGTGGGGCATTTCTGGGAACATTGCTGTGATGGGGACTCTCAGGATCCCCAAGGGGCACTCATATTGTGTCAGCAAGAGGTGTGGCTGTTTGGGAACTGGGATGCCACAGGGGTCTATACCTGCAGGGAGCAGCCTGGGTGGCAGCCACGCAGGCTTCCGGGAATGCTTGCCAGACGTGGGGAGAAAGGTGGCAGCTGAGTAGTCTCTGCAGGTCTAACCGCTTCCACTGAGGTGCCTCTTTGTCCAAGATGGTTCCTGTGCTCGGGACAGAGACCACACAGCCATTTCATGTATACACATCCTTTTGGGTGTGACCCAGATGGTTGGCTCAGTGTCCAAGGTTTTATGAACTTGGCTCTTCGGGAAGGCCTTGTGGTGTGCTGGTAATGAATGTGGCCTCTAGAACCAGACTTCCTGTGTTTGGGTCCTGGCTTTGCCATTGACTCGCTTTACACCCTTGGGAAAGTTGTTTAATTTTTCCATGCCTCAGTTTACCTGCCTGAAAGGTCCTCTAAAGTGCTTGGTAAGTATTAGTTGATATAATAATGATGTGCTTTGTGGGTAGGATGGCCTGATGGGGGTGGTTTCAAGTTTGAAAAAGGCTTGCGGGCTTCTTACTGAGTGTGTGGGTGCTGAGTGTAGGTGGGAGGGCTGTCTTCTAGAGCCCACCATTTATATTTTATACCCCTTTCCCGGTACCCACTCTTTCCATCTTTGGATTTTTCCTTTGCACACCTGACCGATCACCTGCCTGAGAGTACAGAATGTGCGGTATAGTTGGAATCAAAAGATTGGGGTCCATGGCCTGACTCAGCCACTTACTGCCCTGTGACCTCAGACCTAAGTTCTGGCACCTCTTCAGCAGCATTGGAGTTTTCTCAATGACACAAGGCTCCTGAAAATCTCATAAAGGCAGAGTAATTGTGCACATTGTTACCCTGGGCAAATGAAACAAAGGACAAACATTGGGAATCCCTGGTGCTTCTCCACTGGAAGCTAAAACTTACCTGACTGTATGCATGAATGAAAAAGCATCAAAGCAATGTTTACTCTCCCTCCCTTATAGGGAGACATGGAGTGGGGAAAGCCCCAGAGTGAAAGTCTGGAGACTTGGGTTTTATTAAGTGAGGTCCTAGGTGCACAGAGCAGGAGCTAAAAAGATGGAATTTCTCTTCTACTTGGTCCCCTGTATTGAGTGACTCAGGGGTCACTGCCCACATTGCACTCGCAGCGACCCTGTGTTACTGGAGCTGTGTGTGAGCAGCCCTGTGTTGTTTTAAGTGCTGAACGCAGTAGTGGCTTGATCAGCCATTCCCTGGTGACCTGTTTCCTGTTTTAGAAAATAAGGATCTTAGACTATTTAAACTGTTGGTTTCTTATAGGGTTAATGTGACACTAAGGCATGTAATTAGTTCTACACTGTCTCTCATATCACCGGGTTTCTTTTTTTAATAGTGTTCTGTGTCATCCTCTCAGATTTTGCTTGTTGTCATTTTGTGTTTGCATAGTTGTTCCTTGGCTCCAATACCACCCCCCCACCACCACCACTTCTAGGCCCTTAGAAAGGAAGGTGCATGAAAATAGAGACCTTGTCTGTGTCACCCATCAGTGCTAAAAGAGTGCTCGGCATGTTTTAGGCACATAAATATACACATAGGCCCACACACACATGTGTAACCATATATTATAATGTACTTACATAAATTTGTCTGTAAAGACTAGGTAGTCACTTGGTTATTTCTCCTCCCCCTCCTTGGCCCCACCCCAAGATCCACCACATTGTTATTTGGAGATCTGAGAACTAGAATTAGAAATGGTTACATTGTCTGTCTTAAAACTTGCTCCAGGTGGCGATGCCTGGTTCTTGCCTTATATGCGCATTAGTGTCAAAGGATAGAACCTTGTGTGGTCAGGGGCAGCCCTTGGCGGGGGGCCGAGGACACTTGGCCATGATGGCAGTGGGCGGTGCAGGTTGGTTCTGTTTATATGCGTAGAGGAGGTGGTCAGCAGGAGCCAAATATAAATCTTAGAATTGCATTCACACATATTATTGAGATTTCATATTGCTTTTATTATTTGGCCACAAAAATGGACATAATCCTTGTTGGCTTTAACACACTACTAGTAGGCTATCCATCTTGCAAAATATAAGACAAGGCCAGAGCTTAAATTAAAATCCTTGGCTTCTTATCTCCTTTCCACAGGAAAGCAAATCTGTGTTGAAAACCGTAAAATTAAGAGGGGAGAGCAAGGATAGCATAATTTAGCAAAAATTCATGGCACCAGATTCTGAGCTATATGACTGGAGGGATAGGTCAGACATTAAGAAGATGCTGCCTGCTAATGCAACTTCCTTAGGATGGTGCTCTGGAAATAAGAAAGGCATGAAAAAATATATATATGTTCATATATTTTTTTCAGAAAATTTCTGCAATGCTTACTCTTTGTAACTGCCCTAAGAAGATATCTTGGTAGATTTGCAATTATACTTCTTATGAGACTTTTGAAATAAAAATCAAAACAGTTACTCTAAAATATAGTTGAAATATATTCATTGTAGCACTTGGGTGTTGAGATTTTTGTCTCCATTTCAAAAAGGGTTTATAACAATATCCTCCTATCCCTGTACCCACCCTCCCACCAGCCCCTACCTCCTCTAGCATTCTAAATTCCTTGTATTTAAGAAGCTCATCTGTGTATCTGGCAGACAGCATCATTAACACTTGAAAAGCATTGAAACATTTTTTTAACCTTTTACACATTTATATGCATAGATGTGTGTGCTGAGGTATATAGAAAAAAGGCGTGTGGCTTTGATAATGGTGCTCTATTTAATAAATGCCAAGGGCAATACGAGCTATGCAAGTTCTGCCATTAGAGAGGAGATGTAATTATAAAATAGAGAAAATCTAGTATGGAAATTATATCATTGTCTAAAAAAGGGTAATTTTTGTTCCCCTTGCTTTTTTCCCCCCATGTTTCTTTTGGGTGGAGGTTGTAATGATAGAGTATAGAGAATTACTGTTACTGGCTGTAAAGAGAATAAGTGTTACTAGGATAATTGTTCCTAATTTTCCTGAGGGTAGACCTCCTTGTTGGAGCCACATACCTCTTATACCTAATTTGTAAAAAACATCAATACAAAATTACGTCGGTCACAGGTGCCGCCACCACGCACCAGAGTCACAGGCCCTCACCATTCCCACATGGACCTGCATTGTAAGGGCTTTTCACTGTGTGCTGCAGTTTTCAGGCATCTCCTTAAATGTTTAAGTTCAGATATTTGCTCCTGGAAAGAGAGATTTCATATGCATTTTAGTTTATAGTCCAGTAAAAACTTCATTAATTCACACTATGGTGAAGGCATGTCTGAAGTAGTGAATTAATGAATATTCAAAATTCATTATATCCTGTTCCTCTTAAATCCACAATTACTCATAACTATAGTGTTTATAAATGGAGAATTTCATGATTCTGCTTTAATTAGTATATGTGTTTAGAACAAATACATGTTGCGTGTATATAATTGTATTGAGTTGACTTTCTTTTGCAGGGGAGGAGGGGTAGAGTTTCTCATAAAAAACTATGTCCTTAGTTAGGTTAAACTGACTCTTGTTTATATTATTGATTTGCTTAGTAATCACTTTCTTGGGGGTAGGGAGCGGGGGGATTCAACTTTAACCAGACAAAAGAATCCCAGATTTCAAATCGATAAAGTCCAAATAAATAATCTGTACCTTTAAAAGTATTGTTATATAGCTTTAGACTTCCAGTTTAAATAAAATTATTTTTAAACAAATGTAAGATAAAATATATTAAAATATATAAGATGTTAACAATTTAAAATGTTTTTATGAGCTGTATTTCATATTATGCATTTAAACTCAAGAATGGAAATTCCCTTTTATCAATTAAGACTTCTTGAAACTAGAGGAACTGAGCACGGCCAAGCACAGTGGATGGTCAGCTTTGGTTCACAAAGCTGCAAAACACTGAAAATACTGTGTCATGGATCTTAGAAATGCACAATTGTAGAAGTGTGAGTTCTGTAAATGAAGGGGATATTAATACAGCAAACTTATATTTATTGGGTTATTATTATTTATTTATTATTTGGGTTTTTAGAAATTTGCCCTTCAAATTTGCCATATTTATTCACTTATTTGTTTATTGAATGACTTTCATTGAGTGCATTTTTATTGCCAGATGTGTGTAATGAATAAAGAGCTTAGAAAACATTCATAACTTTTGCTCCAATAACTCTTTGTTGAACTCAACCTGAAGAAATAATTTAAAAGGGAATGTAAATATGTGTATACAGAGATTCATGTCATATGGAATAATAGTAATCAACCTAAATCTCTGAAGGGGAGCTGATTAAATAATGGATAGTCCTCTGATGGGATATTCAAACACTCGAGGAGTTTTTAACATGGACAAAAATCCTGAAGATCTAGATGAGTATTGCAGATGATTTCAGTTGTCCAGGTCTGGAGGAGATTCCCGGATTATGCTGATGAGCAGTCACTGCAATTGTGTGGCTTTTTCTTTGGGAGAGGAGACAGGAGCTGGGCATCCATTATTAACTGTTGACCTGTGGTTACTTTGCAGTCAAATAAAGTGCCCGTGGTGCAGCCATCCCATGCGGTTCATCCTCTCACCCCCCTCATCACTTACAGCGACGAGCACTTTTCTCCAGGATCACACCCGTCACACATCCCATCAGATGTCAATTCCAAACAAGGTGAGAGCCCTGCCCTCCCGGGCCTTTTTCAGTTACGGAGGAGCTGTGCCTCATCAGTGTGAGGGACCATACAGGTGCCTTCGCTCCATGCGCCTGCATGGGCCCAAATACATTTGTAGGAGACAAGAGTAATTTATGTGATAGCAATTTTTAATAAGCCATAAGAATTTGTTGTTGCTTCTTTTATGTTTCAGGATTTAAAAAAAAAATAAGACAAAAAAAAAACTTAGAAGGGTTATCTTCAAAGTGACAGCTCTGAAATCTAGGATCTACAGTATAATCCAATCCAGTTATACAAATATACTGAAAATTCAATCCTGGGTGGCCCCTGTACTTACTCATTTACTTCAGCATGTACTAGGTGTTGATGGTAGTGTTAAAAGAAATGTTAGAAAAGGGACAAAGTATGAGATTTTTACTTTCAAATGTTACCTTTTTGACCCTTTAGTGATTTGTTTTGGTTTCAATTATATCCCTGTTAGCTTTTGTCCTTGTTTGTTATCTACCAGCACCAACTTAGATATAAGCGACAAAGTACAAAACCATAACATGAATCTGACTTCTCTACACCATTCGCAAGCTCCGCTTCTGTGTCACTTACAGAAAAACACATAGCACAGAGGTCTGTGAAGTCGGAACCCCAAGGGGTGGGGTGGTGGCTGTGGGGCCCAGGGTCAGGCCCTCCCGGCCTGCTGCCACCACGTGCCGGGCGCACACCGAGGATGGGCTGACCCACAGGGTGGCCTGTCTTCTCTCCCTGTGCACAATGCACCTGGACCTCAAGGGAGTTCTCAGGAGTTCGAGATAAAAGATCCCGCATACCTGAAACTAATATAATGTTGAATGCCAACTGTACTTGAAAAGAGAGAGAGAGAGAAATAAGTAAAAGAGCTGCTAAAACCAAATGAAGGCAGAGAATAGAAAGCACCTCACCATTTTGATCTGAAGTGGGTAACAAAATTTATGAAGTTTGTAAAAAAGAGTGGAGTTCAGAGGCTGGGTGTTTTTAGGTTAAAGACTGAACGCCTTCATTTCCCTCCCTGGTTAACATATGCAACTTATTTGAGGGCCTAGTTACTGCTGGACTTCGACTTGAGTGAAGCCCAAGCACCTTTATGTAGAAAAGGTAAGAATCACCTACACAGAGGTTTCCAGATTTGCCTCTGTCTTAGTCCTCATCTCTAGTTCCTTACTTCCTTTACCAAGGACCTCTAAAGAATAAGAAACATCAAAGACAGGTCTGGGGATTTATGGTGAGGATGGAAACTAAGGCATTTTAGGAAGAAGGCCAAGTTTGAGAGGGAGGCCACAATTTGCGACCTTAGTCCTGGTGAGTTTGAGATCTTGGAAGGGAAACACAAGGTGGCGATTTAAACGCCCCAGTCCAGAGCCTCGCTAGAGGTACACACCTGGGAACTGAGGAGGTGTGGGCGACAGTTTAAAGTAGATATAAAAACTCAGGCAGGCTATTAACAAAAAGAACCCAACAGTATATCTTATTAAGTGTTTAACTATTTATTTATTTAAGTTACATGGTGCTGTCTCTGTCCTAGGCCCTGTTCTAAGTACTTCAAAATGAACTTATTTAGAAGAATAATGTGTGTTGGTTTAGTAGTTTTTCTCTTAAGAATTCTAGGACAGCTCCATTTTTTTAAAAAAAGATAAGCTCATGACTAGCTACCAATCTATTTTATCTTCCGTTTCCATCACTTCTGGCCCAGCCACCTTACCTTGTTTTGCCTGACCACTTGTAATTATATCATTGCTTCTCAAAACTTTTTTTTTTAATGAACCCTCCAGAACTTGAGAAGGCCCAGTGGGCATGACCAAAAGTTGTCTGTTTACAGTTTCTTTGAAGACTTTATTTCATCCTAAAAATTTGTGTTATTTTTGTGTTCTACTCCATACACTCTTTGTGTAGCTTTTAATGTAAAGATCTTTTGAATTACTTTTTGACCTGGATTTCATGCATCTCATCACCATGTCTCTCAGGATATGCAAACTTTGATTTGAAAAGAGCAAATTTACGTGATTTTGAATTTATATTTTTCCATTTGAGTACATTCATCACTGAAAAAAAATAACAGTGAAAAAGCATACTAGGTTTCTTGCTTTCACTCCCTTTCCCCTTCAGTCTGCTTTTTGGCTTTATCACGTAGCACAGCTAGTTAGAACATGGTACTAAGGCCAGAGTCACCGATTTCACAGGTCCCAGGGGGCTGGTTAGCTTTATTTAAAAAAGAAAAAAAAGAGTGGCATGTTCATACTCTAATACTAGATATAACCATCCAATAAATATAAACTGTTTGTCAGCAGAAACCATTTGCATTTGTAAGAACATATCTTTAGATTAATGTTCCATTAGGAAGCACATTAGTTTTGACCTTTCCCTCAGTGTGTTGGGGGCGGGGGGCGTGTATAGGTGTAGAAAAGGAAAAGGAAGATAATACCAATCATTTCATTATGTCTGGTAAAAATGGAAAAGAGCTTTTGGTAAATGGTAAAAGGAAAGAGTTTTTAGGAAATACTGGGTTTACATACCTATTTATATCCTTGTAGTCTTCATTGTATCCTGATAAATAACAACAAAGACATATCACTTACTGTATACTGAGCACTTTTCTATATTACATATATTAATGCATTTATTCTTCACAACAACCCCTATTCCATTTTTATTCTGATTTTATAGAATAATAACTTCCTCAAAGATATGTAGTTGAGTGGCAAAATTGATGTAACCATACAGCCTGACTCCAAAATCACTTCATTTTTATTTACCAGTTACTTATAAAAGATTAAAAATTTTTAAGGTTATGTTGTGTATAGCCTATAGCACATAGTAAGTGTTCAAGAAATACCAGTTAAATGAGTGATGGTAAATGTATCTTTAGTAGATACACTTCTACTCCACAACAGAGTTGGTGTAGTCACATACTTGTAGGAATCTTAAAGAGGATCTTAAAGCAACAATAAGCTGTTTAGCAAACACAGATCTATTTGCGGCTCATGTAATAACCAAAGCCACATCATGTACTTGTATGTACCTGCAAAATGGTTGATGATGCTGACCCAGCATGGGGAATGGGTCTGTTTAAACTGTTTTTTTTTTCACTCGTTCATTTGTTCAAGTCATTCAGCAGTATTTATTGAGAACCTCCTGTGGAGACAACGATGGTTTGATGCATTGACTGGTAAAACATGGTTTCTTTTTCTAAGCAGTATTTAAACTCATGCAGGAAATCCTTTGCACAAACTAACGATAAAACAAAATGAAGAACATCTTTATTACCATGTTAAAAGTACAAATAAAATCTTGTAGATGTAAAGAAGAAAGAGATTTCTCAGAGCTATAAAAGTTAGTATTCCATGGGAAAGGGATATTTGAAATATGAGCACAATTTTAGTAGAAACAGTCAAATTAAATGACTAAAATAGGAAGTAGCATGTAGCAGGTGCTAAGTAAATGTTAGTTTTCTCCTTCCTCCTTCAGAACAGTAAAAGTAAATCCAACTAATTTATATACTTTGTTCTGCCGAGTTACTCCTACACAGAGTCACTGATGTGTTCTAAGCATGTTCAGAACAGGGAGTAACATGGGGAGCAAAGTTTTCAGCTTATCTGCTTAGAGGCATGTGATTGAAGCAAGTCGACTGCCCGTGTCCCAGTGCCGAGAGCCCAGGACAAATGTGTGTGTGCCCCACCAGTCACTGCCCCTCCCTAACCGAGGGGTTAAAGGAGACAGTTCAGGTAGTCTCTCACCTCTAACCATGACTTTTGAGTTTGTATTTTCACTAAGTTTCCAAAGTCCTTCTCAGCTGGTCTGGTTTTTATTCTCAAAATTGAGTGATCCCCCTGTAGACCCTGAGGTCTGGAGAGGTATCTCAGGTGAGGATGCTGGCCTGCTGGGAAAGTCCTCGGTGACCCTGACAGGTCATGAATGCCACTGTAGGCTCCCTTAGGGTCACCCCTGCTGCTTGGACCTGGCCAGACCCAAGAAAAAAGTCCAGAGTATGAAATTTGGGGTCTACTGTGACCAAAAGAAGTAGTACGTTTAGCCAAAAAAAAGAAGATTTGAAAAACGTACTTTTAAAAACAGCAAAACATAAGATGATCATGTGAAAACATGTAAACTCTCTACTGAGGGAGAGATTAAAGACCTTTCTCCATCCTACCTACTTTCTACAATTGAGAAATAGATTGTCCTAACTTCAAAGCCAAATAAATATCAACTTCAAAGGCAACATTTCTTAAGTCATTCCCATATGTTTAAAGCCTTCCGTATCTTTTAAGATTCAAATGAAACTCATAACCAATTTGAACAGTAGAAAAGCAAGATACAGAAAGAGCATCTTCCATGTGCTCACCCAATTCCACATACTGGCCAATCAATATATTTACAACCACTGAATGCATCTTCTAAGTCCTCAACTACGAATATGTGCTTCTATATGGAAATGCCCTTATAAAGTCAGAGTAGCTGTATGAGAAGACTGTTGTAGCTTTTTTCTATTCAGAATCACTCCCATTTCTCCAAATACATTGAATGTATTTGTGCTAATATTGTACATTTTTATACGTGTGTCTTACCCCTTCTTTTCTGTACCCAAGGTAAGATACAAAGAGATGTCATTTGGGACTAGGATTAGGTATAATCTTTAGGTGGTTTTGACAGTTAGAGGAGAGTGTACTCCAGGGAGTGTGAGCTCAAGAAACAATTTGGTGGCTCTCTCATTGTCTGTGGAGTACAACTAATCCAGAACAGCTTGACCTTGGAGCGCAGAGGACTCAACTTGATGAAGAGCTTTGTTGGAGCTGAAGTGGCAGAGACCAAATGAATCATATCAAGTGTGACCATTATGGGGCTGAAGATGATTCCTAATTAATCTTTGATTCTCTGAGGCATCACATTTCCCAAATCTGTGTGTCCATAAGGGAGCCAACACAAATATGAAAGTGGCAATTTACTTAATCCTTGAGCACATGGCAGGCCATCTACTTAGAAAGGGCTCCCACTTCCCATTCTACACAGAAACAATGGCCTACTGTTTTCTTAACCAAATGCAATGATGTGGGCAAACTAATTTAAAAGTCTTATTTTAATGGCTTTTATTAGCAGCATATTTACTCTTTCAGGAATTCCTCAAGATGTACTGTTTTAAAACCTGTTTTCTCAAATGTTGAAATTTGAAAAGATAGCAAATTGACTTCTGTTAAACAGATCAGATAAATAAATGTTGTTTCATTCTAGACCATAAGAAGTACGGCATAAAGCATTTTGTTGCCCTTCTGTTGCTGTAAGAGTCAAATGTCCTGTGACTCTGAGCGCTCTACCTCTCCATTCTTTTTAATAGGCATATCCAGACATCCTCCCGCTCCTGAGATCCCCACCTTCTACCCGCTGTCTCCGGGTGGTGTTGGACAGATTACCCCACCTCTGGGCTGGTAAGACCCTTCCTGCAAACTCCAGCCAGGCACTTGAACACATGTTCTGCTTCCCACTTAGGGAAATTAGCTTTATGAATGATAACACTTGTGGACTTGAGGAAGCTTTACAACAACAAGCAAGGTGGCAACTTTATCTCATTTCAATTTAGAAGATTAAAAAACACACAGACTTTGAAATGGATTGAATCCGTTCGCTTATATGTGTAGAAAATGACTGTAGCATTTGCTTTGAAGCTTATGGTTGTATGGATTCAATTTGTGGCTTTGGGCATTTGCTATGCCTGTACAAAGTTCTCAGTGTGGTTTTTCTTTTCTGTTTTATTTATGAAAACTTATATTTTTGAAAGAAACTAAGACACACTGAATATCTACAAGTATGTACTATCTTTGCTTATAAATGGCAAGTGATATAAATGACATAGAAATAGAGAGAAATTTTAACATAACAAAAGCATCTTTTGAATTTTAATGAAGTAAGCTCCAGCTTGAGTTCAGAGAAGTAAAAAACTAATGTTTGGGCTTTTTCCACCCCCCTGAATCCTATTGCCCTTTGTTCGTTCTAAAAAATTCTTAACTGTAGCCTTTAAAATTTTCTAAATTATAAAGGTAAGGGAAAGGAAGTAGATCTTAGGAAGAATCATTTTCTGTAGTATAACCTATTTTTATAATTTTACTGTGAACACACATCTCCCCCCCTCCCCCGCCCATTCCCACTCCTGTCCCCTATCCACTCCTCCCTCCGCAGTGCTCATGCCCTGGAAATAGCTCCCACTGGGGCAGAGCTTTCTCTCTTTAGCCGAGTCTCTGCCCCTTCAGGCCCAGGTCACCGCCCCAGTCTCTCCACCTTGACAGCCTTACAGTGTCTCTTCTTCAGTGAGAAGGGGTCATCCTACCAGGGACATTTCACCTCACTCTCTTTAGTGTTAGATCTCTTAGTCAATAACTGTTTGAGTTAATTAATTGTGCATACATGTTCGGTCCTACACCAATTGTCTGACACTAGTAGTTCCTTAGGAGCAATAATCCTGTGCTAGCAGTGTTGGTGGCAGGGGGAATAGAGGACGTTACAATGAAAAATGTGAGATGTGAGAAATGGGGGAAATGGACTTCTCAGAGTGGAAAGGAAATTATTCCAATGAACTTATTTTTTGACTCTAACATGGGGATGTGGGGGAGGGAGGAGCAGTGTTTTTAAAATATTTGTTCAGTCTCATATAAATATGAAGTTTTATTTCCTTCTTTTTTCTGAAATTCTCAAAGATTCTGATAAAGAATCTGCTAACCTTCTCTGAAAGGAATATTTCACCATTCTCAGGGTTCTGTTATAGTTAATAAACATTTGTCACATGCCTAGTTTGTTCAAAGCATTCATGGGTTTGGAAGAGGGGAGGGGATATGGGTAATTCATGAACTGGTTTGTTTTTAAAGTTGAGGATGGGAGATTTTCTTCAACGCCAACAATACTTTGATTGGGTGGAGGGTAAGGAAGGCAGGCAGTTGGATAACTGAAGATATGCCGTGGTCTGTGGTATTCCAAAAATTCTATTTGAAACCTTGCCTTTCTCCCCTCATCAAACTCTTACTGCTGATTGGTAACTCATGTTTTGTCATTGATGGGTTCCTTTCTTCTGTGACCTCAGGCAAGGTCAGCCTGTATATCCCATCACGGGAGGATTCAGGCAACCCTACCCATCCTCACTGTCAGTCGACACTTCCATGTCCAGGTAGGTGGAGGTGGAACCCGGGCACCCAGGACAAGTTGCTCTTCCTGCGCTTGCATCTTGTGCGCCTCTGCTTGCCTCTTGGTTGGCTAGGAGGGTGCGTAGCTCAGCCACGTGTCTGTCTGCGCAGTGTGCCTGGCTCCCACACTAGGTGTTGTAGAGATTCCTGGGTAGGAGCCACACTCTGCATCCCCACACCAAGCACCAGCCACACCCACCAGGGGGATGGACTCAGCCACAGGGGCAACTGTGCCTCAAGAAGACTTCACTGGCTGCAGGATGTGACACATCCCCAAAATGGACATCATAAGAGATTGTTATTCAAAATATGCTGGGGGTGTGGTAAAGGGGAAGGTAAAGACTGGTTTGGTCTGAGTTCTACCATTTACTTTCTTTGAGGAAAGTTGTACCGGTTTAACGTGACAGTGTTTGAAAATGCCCAGTTAGTCTAGAGCCTTCCTGGACCAAGGCTGTCGGAAGAGAAAGAATGGTGCTTATCGGCCATCAGGCCTTCGGGGTCGTGTCCTAGTGTGTGAATCAGGCCCTGTGGGGACACAGTGCCGGCGAAGCTCTGTGAGGTCTGCCGCCACCCTGCTCTGTGTAATGCTTGCTTCTGGAAAGGATGGCTTCTGTGCCCTGTGCTTGACATACACACATTTGTGGTGTATCATCTGTGTGTTTGATGTTGCTTTTCCAAGGGATCTAGCATTATTGCACCAGAGTCAAACTTTTGGGTTAGTAACTGGTTGTGAATCTTTACTTTTTATGTAGGTAAGAAATTCACAGTTTCTGTGGTGAATTTCAGATTAAAAAAAAATGTTTCTTTAGCAAATTGTAAATCTAGCCAGGTGGAAGGGGATGAAATTAATATCATTCTCCTAAAATATATTTTTACATTTTTTCAACATTGTGAGAACCATCTGATGACAGGAGTTTCTCACAGGCATCAAGTATTTTTGCAAATGGTGCATTTAGCAAAGGATTATTATTTGATCAAATATTTGTATTTTTACCATGCCACCTTAATTTTTAAAAATTTGTTTCCAAAATATTACATAGCCAGGCAGTCCTTCCGTCCTTCCCAGATGAAGGAATAAATTGTACGGGCTGTGATGAAAGACTTGAGAATGTTGTTCTTGCTGAATTAAATGTTTACTTTAAAATAGTTTGAAAAGCAAAGAGTTCTAAAGCATAACCAAATTTATCCAAAGCTCTTGTTGAAAGTAGTCTTTATTTATTTTATTTTTCTTGCATGGCAGTTTCCCTCCTTTGTGTTGGATGGTGGTGGATACTTTGAGATTATTTTTTTAATACTCTGCACGCATATTTAGGAAAAAGCCTTTGTTCAGCGAGTGCAGTTTTTACCTTGATGTAGAACTGTACGTATTCTTCCCTTTGATTAAACCCTTCCCTTAATTTTGTTATCAGTTTTCCATAAGGCTAGATCTCTCAAACATTCTCTGTAGAAAATTACTTCGGGTGATGTTAAGGGCAACCTTGTTAAATTGGAGGCTGAAAAATATCTTCCTGTCCCTTATTTTCTCAATTGTTCTCTCCTAATATTAGTAAAGAAGCAAACAATATGAGAAGACTCTTAAAGTGATGGTTTCACTGGGAATATAGGCAGAGGTTTTTAAATGTAATTTCTTCAGCTTTAATTATAAAAATCTTTCAAAAGCTAAATCTTAATAAAGTGTTATATTTCCAATATAATTGTTATTACTGGAACTACTTGAAAACTGCTTTGCAAGAAAAGTGACTCAATTTTTTTTCCTTTATCCTCTGGCCTAGAGCATCCTGGGAAAAATGCCAGGTTCTACTATTAGTTTGGGGGAAAAAATGTATTTATACAAGCAATAATTATGAATGTTTTGCACCTGAACACAGAAAGGAACGAAATTCTCAGCCCGCCCTAATTTACAGTTAATGTGTCCATGTGCAACTGCCAGGAGCAGTTAGTGGATTGTTTCAAAACTCCATCCGGCCTTTGCTCCCGCAGCCACTAGCACGTATTGCTCTTCTCTTTCCTTCTTCCAGGTTTTCCCATCACATGATTCCTGGTCCCCCTGGTCCCCACACCACTGGCATCCCTCACCCTGCTATCGTGACACCTCAGGTCAAACAGGAGCACCCCCACACTGACGGCGACCTGATGCATGTGTAAGTATGCGGTGGTCTCCCCTGTTAGTGCCTGAAGACCCTGAGGATTTAAACGGAGTTTCTCCTTCACTGTGGTTGAACCTTCTCCTTCTCTTTTAGTATGGAAACCAGTGTAGCTCTGCTTTGAAAACTCTGCCCATAATTGGCTTGATTCTCACTGCCAGCTGGTTGTGATTCTCAGATTGGAAAAAAGAACAGACCTCAAAAGGTTAAGGAAACCTCACCAAAATGGAGTGATGTTCAGGGCACAGGCATTGGATACCTTGAGCCATGTAGCCAACACTACCAGATTTCAGTGGGCTCTGACGGTTGGGAGCCCCTGGTGGTCCCTGAAGTGGACAGGAGAGTTCAGTGCATGCCCAGGAGGAGTGTCCCTGTTTCCAGGCTTTCAAAGCACAGAAGTCAAGGGAAAGGGGCAAAGCCGCCCAGGATGGGCCCTGGCTGTGTACATGAGCCAGGGGCTAAATTCCTTGAAGAATTTAGGAATTGAGTTTCTTAATCTAGGGTTTGCAGACGGAGACAGAAAGGTAGGGTAGCAAGGAACTCAAGATAGTCTACAAAATCCCTATGAATGTAACCCAGGCTGGTGGCTCAGTTGGTGGGTGTGTTGTCCCATAAACTGAAGGGCCGAGGGTTCAATTTCTTGGTCCAGGCACATGCTTGGGTTGTGTGCGGTTTTCGTCCCAGGTCCCAGGTGAGTGCAAGAGGCAATCATCCCATCCATCAGTGCTTCTCTCCCTCCCTCTCTCTCCCTCCCTTCCCCTCTCTTAAAAAACAACCAACCAACCAAACACACAAAAAACATCCTGCAAATGTAGGCAAAGACAACATGCATTTGTTTGGAGGAGAGAGTCTGAAGTTTCATTAGCTCTTCAACTGCCTCCTACGTGCACCACCCCACTTACTCCCCCAAAAAGTTAGGAACCTCATCTGAAAGAGGAGTGGACACTTACACTACAGGGGCGGCTTTTCCCAGGTGACCCAGTTGCTCAGCCTCCAGGCCCTAATAGAGCAGCTCTACACACCCTTTTCCATTTTGTGTTAAACACTTGTGTAGCCCCAGGCAGACTTTCGCTAACAGAAGGAAGGATACTCACCAAGAGTTGCTCTCCTGAGTTGACAGTGTTCAGGCTTGTGGAGAGCTGGAGGGTTGCCCCAGCACAGGTTTGACTGGTGATGTAAACAGATGCTCTGCTTCTCTCCTCCCCCTTCCGGTCTCTTCCTCGTGCTGCACACCCCTCCTGCAACACCACCACACCCGCCTTTTAGGAAGCCTCAGCATGAACAGAGAAAGGAGCAGGAGCCAAAAAGACCTCACATTAAGAAGCCTCTGAATGCTTTTATGTTATACATGAAAGAAATGAGAGCCAATGTCGTGGCTGAGTGTACCTTGAAAGAAAGTGCAGCTATCAACCAGATTCTAGGCAGAAGGGTAAGTAGTGGGATGGTAAATAAATGTTTATGGGAACTGTGGAGCTACTTCATTAAAACCTGCCCAAATGCACTTGCGTGTATCAGGTGGTCACAGTGTGCGTTTGGGGAATCACCAGGCACTTTGGGGAGTAACAAAGAGAACAGGCTAAGTGATAATCTTTCAGAGGATTAAATGATATAAAGCATTATAAACAACTTAGATTGTACCTGGCACATAAAAACCTTCCTGGAAATGATAACCCCTTTTCCTGGTACCACTCTGTAAACAACATTATTTATTGTCTTTTATGTGCCAGGCACTGTGGTTAGGCAATTAGATAATAATTGCTGAATAAAATATATACGGTCCTTGTCTTCATGGAGTTTAAAGTTTTGTGACATGATACTGATATTAGGCAAGTAATTACTTGATAAATTTGTAATTAAAATTGTGATGTATACCATGAATGTAAAGAATGGCTTCTATGAGAAAGACCAGCAGGAGGCTGGGGACACAGTGTGTAAGCTGAGACCTGAGGCATGAGTGGGGGCTCACCAAGTGCTGAGGGGGGAGTCGGGGATCTCCAGATGGAGCCCCGTGCCTGCCTGCGGACTCAGGCCTGAGGCAGGAGAGCCCTGAGCCTGCATAGAGAGCAACGCAAAGGCCTTGGCTGACCAGGGTGCTTCTGGATGAACCCTGGCAAGTGTGCCCACATTGTCCATGACAGAAGCAGGTCCGTGTTACTCAGAAACTTTAAGTGGAAGAATTTATATGAGCCAGAGAAATCTTTGTTCTAGTAAAACCACTGTCTGATTCTTAAAGTGCCAGGTTTCTGGATTGCCCCTTTTCTTTTCCCCCCATCTGTCGCCCTTCCTAAGATATTTTTGTGAGCACATATTATGTACCAGGCACTAGGCTGCCACTAGGACAGACGCTAAGATTTATGTGATCCAACCACCAGGCAAAAGGCTAGTCAGTTTTTTCAGGTATTTTTTCTCAAGATTGAAATGTTTTTAGTTAGGTATCTGAAGAGTGGTGAAAAAAATGGAATTTTCTAATTCAAATAACATTTTCTATGTAGTTACATTGTAATTTTAGAAAAGGTCCATCGTAGTTGTTGATGCCCAACATAAATGTGTGGTGGTTTCTTAATTACACATGTGTGTATTTGATTTTGCAACCTCTCAAGAAATTCATGATTCACAAATGAACATTCACTTACAGAGGTCTAACAACCTTTGTGGAACTCAGAGGACCATGTTTCAACTGTTATTGATGATGATTTTTACCATGTTTGTTACAAACCTAATACATTTCGGCATTCATAAGAGAAAGCATTCAGGAGATTTCAGGCCGAGAGAAGTGGGCTTTCTTGCATTATCGATTCCTGTTGAGTAGCAAAAAATGCCACTATTTCCAATCTGCAAGACACCAGGGTTTCAGGGTTAGGGTGCGGCAACAGATTATAGCTTTTCGGTGTCCTGCATACAATACTCTATCTCCCTGTGGATTCTTAAATACTTAATAACAATAATTACAATGATTTCCTAAGCTACATCATAGCAGATGAGTGATTCCCATCATCTTTGAAGAACTCTGCCTTAAAAGCTTAGAGACTGATGATCATTTCCCCTGACCCTTTAAAAGAAGAAACCAGAGGAAAAGAGTTAATGTTCTCATTTCAGCTTGTGTAAAACTCTCAGCTTTTTTTTTTCCTTCCTTTTTTGAGTTAAAGATCCCCTGTCCCTCCAGCAGGAATTCTTTTCCTTCTCAAGAGACTAAGTAAGGCTATGATATGAAGGTATGATTCCTATTTTTAATGCACATTTCCCACAATTGCTACTTTCTCAGCTCCCTTAACAACCCCCAGATCGGAGCATGTGTCCTACAGGATGGTTCTCATTTGGGGTCTCTCTCTGTCTTTGATTTGGACACCTGTTTCTATTTATAGGTCTCTGAGATCTTTGATTAAGATCAGGTTTTCTGTCCTTTCATAACTCCCCTCTGGCAGGGTAGTCCTTGCTAGTTCTTTAAAGTTCCTGGCTTTAAAAAGATGAAGTTTTACACTAGGATAATTATAATTCTTAAAAGTGGAACTTCAACCTCTGAACATTATATCTTTTGATTTTTATGCAACTTTACTGTATCTCTAAAATAGAAATGTTCATTCATACCAATTAATCAGTTTTTTTCTTTGTTTTATAAATAATAACACAAATCTTACTTTAAGATAAACTTTTTAAAAGACCTTCCAGGCTATTAAAGGAAGTCTTTTTATTATAAATGTATTCTCAGGATTTTAAATCTTGAGACTGTATAAATTTCTTCAAATTAAGTGGGTATTTTCTGAACAACTTGGTAAAATCTTGACAATGAAACTTAATTAAAAAAATTAGCTCTTAATTTTTCTGTAAGCAAAAGTGATAGAAAAGCATTTTTAGTATGTTGTATTTCAGAAATTCCTATAAAGAAAGATCAGCTTTCTGGTGTGTATGAAAGTTTATTTTTGTTTCAGTGCAAAATTTTACTACCATTTGACCTACTCTTTTACTCTGGTAAATGATCTTTTATTTGTGAGTAGATTTTGTGCATTAGAAATATCAGGAAACTAAAAGCAATGGAAAATGCAAGTAAATAGTTGCTGACCTGCTTTTTCTCCTTGCAGTTGCTCAGTTTTATTTGCTCAGGTCTTTTTATCAACCCGTTTTCTCCTTTAACTGAAAAATGCCTGATTATTTGGGTAGAAGACCCAACTTCCCAAATCTTGGGAGATAAGTTGTTTTTTAAAAAAAAAATCCTCGCCCAAGGACATGCTTGTTGATTTTAGAGAGAGGGGAAGGGGGGAAGAGAGAGGGAAAGAAGCATCCGTGTGAGGGAGAGGAGCATCCACATGAGGGAGGAACATCCATAGGTTGCCTCTCACATGCGCCCTGATCAGGGACTGAACCAGAAATTAAACCACAACTCTTTGGTCTACTGGACGATGCTCTAGCCATCTGAGCCACAGTGGCCAGGGTGAGACATAAGTTTTATAAAACTTATTTTAGGTTTTCTTAGCGAGTTATAAAGCTGCCATAAATTATATAAAATTCTATTGCTATATTGTGGTAGCATAATTACTTGTCAAATGAATAAACAAATTTATAAAGTAAGACTTTTTTTGTTACTTTATTTTTTTATCTTTTTTTGTTCCTTTTTGTTAACACTCTGCCTCCTGCCAGTCACATTTACTTAATATCAGATGTGTGTAAACATTAATGACTAGTCTTTTCTTTTAAAAAGGGAAGAAAAAAGAAACAATCAAGGCTGCCCTCTTCATTGCATGCAGTCCGTTTCTCCCTGTGAAGGTCTCCAGCACCAGGCGAGGCTCTCAGCTTTAGGAAAGCTGTGGTTTGACAGAGGACATGTAACTTTTCTTGCCTGGCTCCCACTTCCCACAGCTGACCCAGAATGGCTCCTTCCTAGGCTCCGTTTGACTTAGTGTGTTTACTCTGCTAGTACAAGGAAAAGAACTGGGTCTTCGATGTTTTTTCTTTCTTCTGCCCCTCCCTCAACTCTTTTTTAAGAAAAGCGTATTACCTGAGTTAGGTTCAGACCAAGTCCCGCTGTGTGTTGTACTTTTTAATTTCACACTGCACTTCTGCAGCGATTGAGGAAATTAATCATGTACCCTGTCCAACACAGAGGCCTTGGGCTTTAAGGGGCTCTCAAAGGAAATGGAATTAGTGACCTCCTGGAGGCTGGAGTGGTGGGTAGGCTGTGTCAAAAGGTGCTTTCATGCCCCTCTCCTCTCGAGGTCCGTGGGTGTTTCTGTTTCCCCGAGGAAAGCTCAGGGAAACGGAAACTCCAGGGCCGGGGCCACGTGCAGAGGACCTAGACCGTGCCTCCTCCTGGAGAAATCCCGTCAGCCTCTCTCCCTCGCTCTTCCTTCCTTTCCCCAGTCCAACCACGCCTGTCTTTGTTTTTGTTTTTTTCTTTTTTTCTTGGGTTATCATTTTAAAAGACAAGAACAGGGGAATTAAAATCGATATTCAGGGTGGACGTGAATGAGAATGACTCGCCCAGCCTTGAGTGGAAGGAGTGAAGTGGGAAGCTCCACACTCTAGAGCTGGGGAGAACAGGAGCCGGCCCGGACTCATCCAGAGCGCGGCGGAATGTGCGTGTGTGTGAAGATGCACCTGCCAATGGGCAGGCTTGGGTCCACTCCTGCAGCTGGCCAGTGAGTCCCCCAAAGCTCAACCAACTCTCCTGGAAGGTTCTGTTGACAGATCCCGGCACTGAGGAAGTAGGGAAAATACTTGAAAACTGCCTACTGGGGGGTGGGGCAGGTGTCTGGGGCAAGTTGTGTGCAAATGTACACAACGCAATGTGCAAATACAAGCTGCTTAAAATCTCAAGTGGATACCCTGCCTACATGAGCTGTTTCACTATATATGATATATATCAGTGATATAAAGGGGAAATGGAAAGTTTGCAGGGTATCAGCCACCGTATTCTCCAACGTAGGTACTACAGCCTCAAATTCTAGATGGCACAATAAGCTTAGACAACGCTTCTTAATGTCCATCAGAAGGAAGTGAGAAATGGTCACCATGAAGTGTGCATGTGTGACCGTGCAATGTTATCAGTGTTGTCCTGTAGACAGTGTTCACCGAAGCGTGAGGAGAGCAGGGATAGACTGAGACAGGCTAACTTCTGGTGTCTTGCTTTGTAGAGACAGGATCAAGTGATGAAGCTTTCGGGCTCTTCCTAGGACAGTGTGGGAGAGTGTCCATGTGAAGTGAAGACGTATCTGTGGAAGAGACATGTAGAAACCATCATATTTTGCCTAAATAAGTGGTAGTAAGGCTCAGATATCAGAATATGTTGCACACTATGAAAAGGGCTAAGCTGGGCATTGAGGTTCAGCAGTGAAAGTTCTTTTTAATTTATATTGGAGACAACAAAGGGTAAGTGACAGATCATTTACTCTGGGTACTTGATTGACTTGGATGAGTTTCATGCGACATCAGAGAACAGAAGAGAGAGCCCAAGTTCGAGTGTCTCACTAACCACCAGACTCCAATTGGATTTCTGACGTAAATGCGTAACATTTTCATTTTTCAATGTTTGTAACATGAACTTTGTATTACTTTCTACTTTGCTTACTTTTATTTGTTTTTTCCCCTCCCCTTTGTGTTTCAGTGGCATGCCCTCTCCCGTGAAGAGCAGGCTAAATATTATGAATTAGCACGGAAGGAAAGACAGCTACATATGCAGCTTTACCCAGGCTGGTCTGCAAGAGACAATTATGTAAGGCCCTCTGCGTACTGTCACCTGTCTGCTTTGACCCCTCCTTTCTTTCCGTGACTTTCATGAGGGAAATATGTTTTATAGTGTATTTTATGTCCTGTTTTTGAAAGTTAGTGGACGTTGTAATAAAGATTTCATGGGTATATCAAATGTCAAAAGCTTTGCGCTGTCAGGTTTTTTTTTTGGCTATGAATTCTTTAAGTGAAACTTTTAAAATAAAAAAACACCTTATGTTTACTTTCATCTTAAAAAAAAACACCATATCATTAAAACGCTAGTGAAGATTTTTTAAGCCGATAAACTCATCCTAAAGTCAACATTACTGATAACTAATTACATTACCTTCCAGTATTTTTTCTGTGCCTGTTTTTATTTTTTACTTGAATGTGTATGTACATACCCTTTTGTGTCATGCTCTTATATAAGCATTTTTTGTTATGATGTAATATTTCTATGTATCAGTCTTAATGGCTGTACAATATTTCATTGAGTGAATGGCACAATTAACCATTTCCCTACTTTTAGATATTTAAGGTGCCACCTTTTTTTAACAATTGTAAATAATCCTGCAATGAAAATATCTGGCATAACAGTTTTTTTGTATTCAGGACTATTATTTCTGTAGGATAGATTCACAGTAGTTGAATTGTTGAGTTCAAGTATACAAATATTTTAAAGGCTTTGGTACATATTGTCAAAATGCTTTCTAAAAGGAATATATCACTTTACAATTCTTATTTACATTGTAATCAAGTGACTACTTTGTCACAAACTAATCAGTACTGGGGAGAAATTTTTTTTGTTTTGTATTGATGTGCTTTGATGTCTATTATGTATTTCATTCAGAGTAGGCATTATTATATTTTTAAAGTTATACTCTAAGTACTATATATTACCAGTTATGTTACTGCTTTAGAGTGTGAACATCTTTCTAATGTAATCTTAATAGAGCAAAGAATATTTCAATGTAAGTATATTATAAATAATATGTGATTGAGGGGAACAATTTTGATTATTTAAGCTTTCAATTAAAAAATTTGAAGATTGTTTCCATTTTCCATGTGAAACTAGCCTTCAAAATGAAGTACCAGCTAAGACTGTCTTAAGTATGAGTGGCCCCTTTTCATAAAGGCCTAAGTGACACCACTAATCAATATGTGATTTAACATATGGCCATTGCTGTGGATAGTCCTGTGGGGCTGAGTGTCTGAGGCCATTTGTCCCACACAAGGGGACACCAGGACTCTGGGACACATCGCGTCTGGTAACACGCTCCGAAGAAGGACTCACTACTGGGCAGGGTGTGGAGCAGAGCCCTTGGCTGCCACAGGACACGGGGTGCCCGAGCCCAGCTGTGGGCCACTTACAGGCAGCAGCTCATGGGCTACCTGAGTTGTCGTAACAACTACCGTGTGCCAGTTGTGAAGAACTGTTGGAATGCCTTCTGTGTTATTTTGTAATCCTTATAATACTCCTGTAGCATAAATAGTATTATTGCCTTTTACAGAGGAGGGAAACTGAGGAGTCGGGGAGGTTAGGGAGTTTGTCAGTGGCCGTGTGGAGGCTTGGGTGCGGTCACACCCAGGTCTCCCTGGCTGCACCATCTCCAGAGCAGACTAGCGCAGCCCTCCAGTGCCTTCTTAAGAAGATGGCTTTCTTCCCTGAACTGGGATTCTCTTCTCTTGGCAACAATTAACATCTTCTGGGTAGAGCCTTTGATGGGTCCTTTAACTGGGAATCAGTTTCCCACCTAAAACCTTTCAAAAACATCCTCCTGTGACCCTGTCCTGGATCTCTTTTGGACATGGTTTGGCTGAAGGGGAGAGTGGACCCTCTTTCCCTGGCCCATGGGAGAGCTTTGCTATACTATGAATTCGTGTAGATTGAGTTAGCGTTGCTTGTTGAGTGAAGTTTCTGGTTCTGATCCTTAAGTAAAGAAGTTAGTTTTTACCTTTAAAAAGAGATAAAAGAAACGTTTTCTCCATCTTTTTCTCTCCTCTTCTTTCCATGTGGAGAGATGGAAAGAAACTTTGAAAGAAAGGCAGTGTCATGGGAATTTACCTTAATTTTCCTTTGCCCATTTTTTAAAGAAAATTGTTTAGTGTAATTCGATTTTAGGATCCTCTTGAATGCAGGAGAAATCCAGCTTTGTTGCCTATAATTTTTATAGTAAGTCAAAATAAGCCTGTTAATTAGTAAGGCAAACAAAAGTCAATCAAGTGATAGCACTTTAGCTAAAGATAATCTTTAAATAATGGTATAAGAATAATCTAAACTGGTCTTACCATATCCTAGCACTTAGTGTCAGAACGTTATCCTGATCTTCACTGAGGTCATACTACATGTATCTCAGTGAGTTACTATGAAAATGCCCTATTCTATGGCATCATAGATTTTATAACTCCAATTTGTTTTCCTAACTTTTATAATGGAAGTTTTCATGCATTTCAACAACAATGCATGTGTTGTCTTAGGTGAGATCAGCCAAATATTTATATTGTGAGAACCTTCAAATTTAGTGCTTAATAACCTCAGTATTAGGTATAATTTTATGAAAAATATTTTTATGTTTACCACACATTAATTTTTTGTATAAGTTGGCATTAATACATCCAAGCTACTTATCTCCTGTTTACTATAACTGTATGTTCTCTTGAAACACCCGTCCCTCCCTGGAATGTAGTATAGGTTATTTCACAAAGGCCATAGTCACATGTCCCAGGCATGAGCTGGGTGGCAGAGATGTGCTGACTCAGGTGGCGCTCTGATAGGCCCAGGTGTGCTAAGGGACTCCGCAGCCCAGCACAGCACCAGGGGAGAGTGAGGTGGTGGCTGTGAGCGCTCTGCCTGAGGGCAGAGTGGGTTGAGACAGAGAAGGTTCCCAGAAGAGGTGACACTGGAGATGAATATTAAAGGACAAATGGAAGGTAGGAGGAGAAAGTGGGGAAGCTGGTTCCAGATATGAAATAAGCTCACAGTGCCTCGTGAAAACCACAGTGATTCCATTTGGAAGGGGGTGGCGTAGGCCTGTGAGATGCATGCTCTCCCTGTCTGCTCCCCTCCTCCAGAGCACCCTCAGTAGTCTTCACAACAAGTCTGCCGTTACTGATGCACACCGTTTCCCAGGGCCACTAGCATCTGCTGGTTGCCTTAGTGTGTGTGAGGGCAGTTTCAGTCAACTTTCCAAAGCTTCATGGCTGCAATGGCAGGTCATGTGACATGAAAAAAAACTATACTGAAGTTTATAAAAACATATGCTTTTATATGTTTATATGTATATTCACACAATATATTCAGTACAATTTTATAGTTTTATGTGTTATTATTTGTTAAAGTGATTATTACAGCAAACATGAGGTAGAGATGTTGGATGTGATATGTGTTCTGTTACAGTTATTTGAAAGTACCAGCCTAATCCAGGTTGGTCACTTACTATTCATATAAATCAAATCTGTACTGTGTCTAGGCCCTATTACAATTATTTTTTGAGGGGAAAGTAACTATGATGAAAAACAGAAAACTAGACCACTGTAAATGGGACCTAAAGTTTTTAGTTTGTGATTAAGATGGCTTTGAAATATATTTAAAATTGCATGCATATCCATGTTATTGTGTCTGTTTTAGGAAGCAAGCTCCTTAGTTTTCAGAAATAAGTCTTTGGAATTACCTTTAGTTTTCTCAAGCTTGATCTTACACTGTAACCCCTGTCTTTGGTCTCATCACGTCTATGCCGAGGGGACTGAGGGTCCTCAGTTATAACATCCTGAACTCCTAATTGTGTGGTGGGACTCACAGTAAGGAAGTTTAGCACGACCAGGAGCAGAAGTTTGGACAGAGTGTGGTGGTTAGGAAGGAGAGCTCCGCCTCCGTATGTGGGCTTTCCTCGAGGGCGAGGGCGTCCCTCTCCCAGCATGTGTGTGAGGCCATGCTGCCGCCGGTGCCAGTGCTGCCGGTGTTCATACATACGAGGCCATAGAGATAAGCTCACAAAGAAATAGGAATTCATTTTCTTCCTCTGGCTTTCAGACCGTTCCCAGGTACAGACAGGGGGAGGGGAAGAGAGGAGGTGGGGAGAGAGAGATGTGAACACGAGGCATCTTTGTCCCTCTGTTGATGGGTCACCTGCCTACATTTTTGTGTCGTGCTCACCCGTGTGTCCATAGCATGGGATGTGACATGACAATGTGCTGTCTTCTTCCAGGGTAAGAAGAAGAAGAGGAAGAGAGAGAAACTACAGGAATCGACATCAGGTAGGCCCCATGTGGCTTTTCGGCCAGTGCTCATGCTTCTGACAGACACCTTTAAAGTAGTTTGCGTCTTTCTGTGTACACACTGCTTTATTCTGCAGCTGTAACTTGTGATACTTCTACTCCGCTTTTCCTCCTGAAATCCTTCAAAGATGTTTTAAGAGAACTTTCTTTTCAATGTGGCTATGTGAAGGTACATCTGAAGACTCCTCTCCCCAGCCCTGTCAGTCACCTGGAATCTTGGTTGACTGTGGTTGTTTGTTTTGTTTTGTTTTTGCTTCTTTGTCTTTGTTCTCTTTGCTTTATTAACATTTCAGTTCTTGTATTTGTATAACTATAGTAAAATTTTTATGATGATTCTATAATATGTTACCTTATATCCCCTTGAGAATCTCTTCTGAGGTTTAGGTTATTTAAAAAATATAAAATATAATGATAGGGTTTATCTTTCCTATCCATTAATTCAAGGCATCAGTCAGTGAGGTCCTATTTAGTTCCCCTTTTTCTTTCATTAAAAGTAAGGCCACTTGGACTGCACAAATAAAAATGGCTGGTATAAGAACCATAAAAAGTAAAGCAAAAAAGTCCACGTGATGTTGTAGCTACTACGTATTTGGAATGTTCAAAAACCTCTTCAATAACAATTTGTTAAAGACACAATTTTCTGCAGGTACAGGTCCAAGAATGACAGCTGCCTACATCTGAAACATGGTAAGAACGACTCTCTGGCCCTACTGCTGACACTAGCTATGAACAAAGGCACTTGCTTGTGATTCTCCGTGCTCACACTGATGCCATTCCACATTGCTCCTCTGAAGAGGAAACGCCATCAAAATTAAATTAGCGCTTTAAAAAATCTGATGGTTTTTATACCGGCTATGTATTTGCAATATAGTATGCGTTTATCTCTCCCTTTCTTCCCCCTCTGCCCCTTTAATCTTTCTCCGTTCCCTTTTCCTTAATTCTCTTCTCACCCATTCCTTACTCTGAAAAGTGGCATACCTGCCTGCCTAAAACACAAACAAACAACACAGATCAGCAAGCAAAACTCGATTTCCCTCCGCACACCCAGGGCCAAGTGTGAGGAGCCCAGGCCCAGGACTCAGTGCTTTTTGCTCTTTAGAGATTACTTTCCAGTTGAGAAGATATATAGATACTTAAAAGTAATTTATTTGTTTCTCATGAGAAAGAAAGATGTGCTTTATTTATTTTTTTTAGATACAGCATGGGGACTACGACTTAATTAACTCTGTTCTGCTATCAAGTTTTTTCTTTATTGGCCATCATTGCTAGTTCTTTCTCTAGTATTTATAAGTAATATTTATTTCATTTCTTTTGGGTCTAATTTTATTTTTGAACACGTAACCACCAGCCCGGGGGACCTGGGATTGTGCGTCGATGCGGTCGTTGCAAAGCTTTGATCCCACAGTGTCTGCACTGTTTCTTGGTGACAGCTCTGTTCCGAGAGGCCACCTTGGATTCCCCCTCTCTCTAGCAGCCACGTCCAGGGCCTGTCAGCTCTGCCTCTTGGGCCTGTCTGGCTTTCCTCTCACACTCAGCCCATCTCAGGAGCGCAGACTTTTCCATCCGGATTATTTAACAGCCTTCGGATCATTACCCTGCCTCCAGACTTTCTGGCCAGCTCCCGAAGGGGTTTGCTAAAACAAACAGATTGATTGGGTCTCTTCCTGGCTGGAAACGGTCAGTGCTCTTCGCCATCTGAAGGATAAAGCACAAACCACCTAACCAAGCTCCCCCTCAGCCCTCTCTCTCTGCAGGGCTTTGCCTTCAGTCTCTCCTGCTCTTCACGCCCCCTTATGAGCCCTGTGCTCAGTCCACTTGGGACAAACAACACAGATCAGCAAGCAAAACTCGATTTGGGAACTGTCCGCAGGCCCCCTGGTCGGTGGAGGCCGCCACCTGCACTGCCCTGTGCCCAGAAAGCCCATGTGCTCTGCCTGAGGAAGAGACCCATCTGCAGTGTGTCTGTGGCGAGCACTGGTCTGCAGGTCATTTAGTGCTTGACTAGAACCAGGTGACTCCTACCTGATCTTTAGAATCGAATTTTTGGTGCCAAAACATCAGTGGACTTTTGCTGACTCCCAAAGGAGACAGCAGAAATTTGGGTACCAAATAGATCAGAATTTTTTTTATCCTCACCTGAGGATAAGTTCATTAATTTTAGAGAAAGAGGAAGGAAGGAAGACAGACATTGATGGAGAAACATCGATTGATTGCCTCCCGTACATGCCCCAAGAGGGGCTCAAACCAGATTGGGGATTGAACCTTCAACCTCTCAGTGTATGGGACAGTGCTCCAACCAATAGGGCCAACTGGCCAGGGCCAGATCTGAATTTTAAACCCACGGTTTGCCTGGGCAGTCTACTTCAGCTTTGTAATCTTCCTTTTTCCCTTGATAAAATGGAAACGATGACACCTGCCGCCCGCAGTTGTCTCTGTGCTGCGGAAGCCCGCCTTCTGCCGACGCCCTCACTACGCCCCCACTCGGGTGCCCTCTCCCCTGTGCAGCTTCCTGATCTGACTTGGGTTGTTCAGCTCCTTCAGAATTCCACCCTGGAGTTTTATGCTGTCATTAAACTAATGCCGAGTGGTAGGCTTTGCTCCAAGTGAAAAGAGGATCATCCCTCCATCTAGGTGTCCGAACATGGTTCCCAAAAAACATCGCAGATGCCCCTATTTCATTCCACCTGAGGGCTATTATTTAAGGACCTCTTCTGAGCAGGCCTCCCGGCTTGGTTATTAGGAACAGAGGGATGACATAACTCCTGCCACTAGAAGCTCCTGGCATTGTAATAGAAGTCATTGTAGTAGCAATCACACACACAAGCTTTTGTGGGGTTGTTGCCTTCTTTTTGAAAGAATGCTGTCCTTTTAACTGCCGCATACAGGTGTGGCCAGCAGCCCTGCCTCCCCTGCTCTTCCTCTGCACGGCAGACCCGCCCCCCCGAGGTGCTGAGTGCCGAGGGCTGACAGTGACTGATTCATTCCATCTTCTCCTTGCTCCCAAATCATCGGTGCCATTTCTATTAAAAATCATTAAAAATGTACTTCTGTATTTCAAAGTTTGTTACTTGATTTTGTGTCCCTATTAACCTTACATAGTATTTTAGATTGGAACATTAAGCTAATTATATTTTTGTCCTAGACTGTATCTCAAACATCTTTAAAAATAAGTCACAGCTATCGGTACACTTGCTTTTCTGACTAAAGGATGCACTTTTTTCCCACCGAATTTGGGAGGAATTATGGTTGTTAATGCTGTTGTTGAGTTCTGTTTACATTTACACTGGTGAGACATTGTTATTTTTGTTATTAAATATTTTACCACATTTTTTGCTTCAAAATTTTTTCCCCTATTTTCCTCCTCTAAAACCTAGGTGCATCTTACTGTCTGAAAAATACGGTATTTGTTTTTAGAAAACCTTAACTTGAATCTCTCTCTAATCCTCTCCAATCTGTCCCAGAAAAACATAAGAAAGCGCCCCCTACCCTCCACAAGAGAAGATCCCCACCAGCGTCTGGGTGAGGCTGCAGAGGGCGGAGTGTCCCCTGCTCAGAATCTCCAGTGCTGCTCTCAGGCCCGCCCCTCAGCCCATGCTGCTGCAGTCCTCCTCACCGTCCTGGTTTGGAGAGCCGCACCGGCAGTCCTTAGACAAGGTTTATTGAGCAATGAAGAGCTACGAGTTGCATTCATAAAGATTTCAGTAAATTAGGAATGATAATATTCCTACTCTTCCCCCTGCCTGTTTCCTTGTTTTTGGAATTCAGAAACCTTGGTATGTATAGTTGTTGACTTGTTTTGTCATCGTTCGGCATTTATTGAGCACCTAATAAATGCCACGTTGCGTTGTAAGACCTGGAAATAGGGGTTGAGTGAATGAGGCAAAGGAGCTCCCTGTTCTCATAGTGCTTACACTGCTGTGTGGGTGGGTGCTGAAAAACAAACAGGAAAGTATATGTGCTATAAATCAAAATAAAACAGGGATTGGGCTTGGTGGACTGCTTTCAGTTGGCTGGTCAGGACGGGCCCTTCTGAGGAGGTAACATTTGATAATACCCAGTCATTACTCCTGAGAAGTGGACGGTATTCTGTGCATGATTCTGGCACAGAGCAGTGGCAGAGAAACAAAAGACAAAGGAAACAGAGCCCCCTGTTGCAGAAAATGCTTAGATGAGGAGTGAGGCCCCTGGCCTGTCACATTTGACCCCTGTAAGCTGTGTGGCCTGGGGCGAGTCATTTAAAGCCAGTGGACCGCTGGTTCCCCAGGCGGCGGGACTGAAAGGGCTGGACCCATGGCCTCTAAGGTCCCCCATTGTCTCAGGTCCACCTTCCTGGCTTGCTTTGCTCTGCATGGTCTACACTGCCTCCCAGTGTTATTAAAGAGACTTGGGTCTCTTTTATGTGCACTAATTTGTATTCTTGATTCTATGCCTGTGGTTCTGTGTAACGGTTAAAGCCCTGTGTGATCTCAAGAACGACGTGTACACGGTGTGGTTGCTCTCTGTCCCTGCACAGGTCAGTCCTGCCTGCCCCGCTTCTCCCCAGGACCGGGGCCTCTGCCGTTCTGCCTCTAGGGAGGCTGGGTGCTCTGCGGACATGGTCGCATGGCTCTTTGTGTACCTAGACGATGGTCATGCCAGTGCTGGCTTCAGCTTAGATACAAACCAGAGACATAAAAATTTGATTAGAATCAATCCCGCAAGCAGTGTGATGTGAAGTCTCACATGACTGGTGTTTACTTCTGAACACAAGTTGCTGAGTATTATCTAAACCCTTGCGCTCCCCTCTTTAGTCAGGTAGAGCTATTGGAACAGAGGCCCAGGCAGGGAGACATCGCGACTCCCATAGGAAGCAATTTTTTAGGTGGTTTATTTTTCTTATGTGAAACTTGTCACTGTTTGGGTGTCCTTAAAGAAAAATCCTGCCTCCGTGTGTGTAGCTCAAATGCTGGGCAACGCTTTACTCTGAACTAGTGTGTAACGAGAAGCTGTGAGGAAAGTAGCCCCTCTAATAAGGAAAAGACTCCCCTCAGCAAATGAAAAAGCCCTCTGAAAACTTGTGTTTCTGCTCTTTAAAAGGCAGATGTTTCACCTAAAGCTCCCTGTTTGATGGGAAGTGCTATTGCAGTTGCCTCGAGCAGACCAAGGTAGAAACTGGCCCGTTCGGCAGTCCCTCGTATACCCAGCTGGGTCGCCGTCTCCCTGTGTGTTCCTCCTTTGGTGTACTGTGAGAGTATTTACTCTGGTGAAATCATGTTGAGACAAAGAAATTAGCATTAACCCAGTCTCTATACCTCACAACTACTCCCAGGATAATTAGACATGGGATTCATAAAAGACATTCCTCCAGATTGGAGATGATTCCCAAGCTGTGGGTCTTTCATGAAAGCCAAGTTCATGCTCAGCTTTTGGGCTTGTTGGGAATGCTGGTAGCCCAGGGCCACAGGGAGCGAGGCTGCCCGCATTCTCCTGCATCCCGCCGGAGGGCCAGTATCGTGAGTGCCTGGTGTTAGTTTATTCATTCTACAAACATACAATGAGGACTAGTCCTGCGAGTCTAGAAGTGCTTTAGGCAGTGGGGGTGCTTGGTAACTGGACCCTGTTACTTCCTGGAGTGCTCCCAATTTAACAAGATACAGACATACAAATGGGTAATTATAAAGTAATACGTTTTATGCTGTGAAGGAGGT